AAACGTTTCTTTTTAACAAAAAAACGAAGTCCAGATGACATGATTCAACCTTTTTTGTTGTTACATACAGCAAAGTTAAGGATAAGTGAGTCTAAAGAGACGTGTTTTCAGAGCAGTCTTGAATAGAGAAAGAGAGGTGGTGTTTCGTAAGTCAGGGGGTAGAGAGTTCCAGAGATGAGGAGCAGAGCAGGTGAAGGCCCTTCTCCCCATGGTGGAGAGGCGGAAAGAGGGTACATGGAGGTGTAGTGAAGAGGAGGATCTGAGAGAGCGAGAGGGGATGGAGATGTGTAGGAGGTCAGATAGGTACGGAGGGGCAAGGTTGTGGATAGCTTTGAAAGTGAGAATAATAATTTTGATGCACTTCAACTGGGACTCGACTATTTTCTCCAGTACTTTAGAAACAAATGGGAGTTTGGAGACAGGCCGGAAGTTGGAAACGACTGAGGGGTCAAGGTTTGTTTTTTTCAGGAGAGGCTGGACAGCAGCATGTTTAAAGGATTTTGGCACCACGCCAGTGGATAAACTACTGTTTACTATATCAAGAATGGACGGACCTAGAGTTGGAAAAACCTCCTTTAGTAGTCGAGGGGGGACCACATCAAAGGGGGAGCCAGAAGGTTTCAAACTGCACATGACCTGCTCTAGAGAAGATAGAGTGATGGGTTCAAAATGGTCAAAAGGAGCTACAGATTGAGGTGGGAAGGATGGGTCATGAGTTGGAGGGGAAATGAGAGCCCTGGTGGTTGCAATTTTTTCCACAAAGAAATGTACGAAGTTGTCACACAGCTCAGTCGAGGCTTCCAGAGGTGATGGTTCAGTGAGGTGGAGAACAGAGTTTAGGGTGGAGAAGAGGACACGTGGGTTGTGAGAGTTTGAGGTAATTATATCAGAGAAGAATTTTGATTTAGCAGCTTTTACTGTTTTCTGATAACAGTGCCAACTCGCTTTAAGTATCTGGAAAGAGACCTGCAGCCTGTCTTTCCTCCACTTTCGCTCCACCCTCCTACATTGCTGCCTAACGGCCTTGGTGATGTCACTCAGCCAAGATTCTGCTCTCAGTTTTGATGTTCTAGTTTTAACAGGTGCAACATGATCCAGAGTCTTTAAGCAGACAGAGTTGAACTGGGATGTCAGCTCCTCAGTGGTGGTGAGAAACACCAGGGGCTGAATTATCGTTTCAGAGTTATAAACATCTGTGAAACGTGCGGCAGTGAAGTGGTTAATGGTCCGAGTGCGACGTGCAGGAATGCACGGCTTAGGAGTTAGATGGGGGAGGGTGAACTCAAACCGGACTGGCATGTGGTCTGAAAAAACATTATCACCAATAACAAGATTATTAACAGTCAAATCATGAGTTAAAACAAGGTCCAGTGTATGTCCACGCTCTTGGGTGGGACTGTTTACATGCTGAGTTAAATTAAATGAGTCCAATAAATCTAAAAAGTCCTTAACCAAGGGCTTCTCAGGACAGCACACGTGCAAATTAAAGTCACCAATAATGAAAACATGATTATATTTTGGTGTGATTTCAGCTAAGAAGTCAGAAAACTCATTTATGAAATCCTTAGATCGAGGTGGGCGGTAGACGAGTGCAAATAACGTCGGAGGTGAATGTCCGAGTTCAAAGACGCTCAGCTCAAAGCTGGAGCGGGAAACTGGGATGGGCAGTTGTTTACAGTCAAAAGTTGATTTGAATATTGTTAATAATCCACCACCGCACCGGCCTGATGGCCGCGGGGCGTTAAAACACAGACTGTTCAGTGGCAGTAATTCCGTCAAGGCGCTGGACTCACCCGGAGACATCCAAGTCTCTGTGATGCAGAGAAAGTCCAGATCGTGCTCTTGAAAGTAATCCCTGAGGATAAAAGTTTTGTTGGTAACAGATCTTGCGTTGACCAAACACATCCGGATATTGTCCAAAGTAGAGCCAGCAGCGGTCTGAAGCGAGATCTCCGGGCAGGGAGGTGAGGAGAGCAGCGAAGGTAAACTGGCACGTCGGCCAGCGGGGGGGGGGGGGGGGTGTCCAGAGGTACGCTGATAATGGTCTAAATAAGCGACTTCAGTGACAGAAAAACTAAGATCCAAAAGTTGTTGTCTGTCATACACAAGCAGAGAGTTGATGTCACAGATGTGAAATGCAAAAAACAAAAATAATCCGAACACTATCAGCAAAGGTGGATTGCAAGCCATGTACACGGGCGCCATCTTACCGGAAGTCCATAACCGGTAGTTATGCTGCTATAGGCTTAGACTGCTGGAGGACAAACTGACCACATTTGTTTCACTCTGCTACTGTCTTTACTTACTCTACTCAACCGGTTTTGTATTTGTAATAATTTTTTCTATCCTTAACATGTGGGGTTTTTTTTGTCTTTCAGATACACCTGGACCTATACCTGGACCTATACCTGGACCTATATCTGGACCTACCATTCTGTGTTCGTCTGTCTCTCGTTCCTGTCCTCTCAACCAGCCGGTCAAAGCAGATGGTCTCTTGTCCTGAGCCTGGTTCTGCTGGAGGTTTCTTCCTGTTAAAAAGGAGTTTTTCTTTCCACTGTGCTTGCTCAGGATGGGAGACTGCAACGAAACCAAGATTCAACTTTTCTGTTGGATTCCTTAGATAGAGAACTTTACTAATTGGCTTTTATGTGAATATTCCTGTAAAGTCCCTGAGACAACTTTGTTGCGATTTGGCGCTATAGAAATAAAATTAATTGAATTGTTACACCATATTCTGTAACCACCGTATATTGTGACCGTAGGGGGCGGTGTTGCATGCACTGTTGCAGGTCACAGAATATGGTGTAACACTGGGTCCAATCACCGAACCAGAACCAGTTTCCTCTGACTTTGTTTCACAAACAAAAAGTAAAAAATATTAATCTCTAAACCTATAAAAACCTATAAACATATTAATCTCTAAAACTAAACCTAATGCACCACAGCTGGCGGTGGTGCGGGGTGGTCGTCCGCCCCACTGTTTTTAGTTTCGTTTTTGACGTGCTGCACGTTTCTTTCACTTTTGCAGCTTAATAATAATAATAATAATAACTAATAGTTGTTTATCCTGTGACTTATTTTCAGTATGATAAATGGAAGGAGCATAATATACTCTCCCAATGTTTTATTGGTCATTTTTGTAAATAATAACCTTTTTTGCAGTTTTTATTTATTTATTTATTTTTGTATCTTTAGATCCTATGATGTCATCAAGTACTCAAGTTCTACTAGAGTTTTATTATGTTAATGTCGAGTTTAAAAATTATGTAGTCGTTCAACCCCTAGTACGAATATACTTTCACTTTGAGCATGCATCAGGATAATTTCACTGTATTCCTGCAAAATGATAATAAAGCTTATTCTGATTCTGATTTACAACAGCTTCATTGGCTTTCCATCCCATATTGTATCAACTACAAAATACTCTTTACCTTCAAATCTGTCTATAACCTCGCTCAGCCTTACCTTTCAAACCTTCTTCACATCGCTACACCCGCTCGTACCCTCAGATTCTCTTCTTCTATTCAGTTCATTGTTCCGCTTGCCCGTCTTGTGACTATGGGGAGCAGATCATTCAGCTGCTCTGCTCCCCAGCTCTGGAACTTACTCCCACCTGATATTCGCAACACAGATTCATTGCCACATTTTAAATCCAAACTAAAAACTCAACTGTTTAAAGTAGCCTATGCACTGTGATTGCAACTGCACTGTCTTATTTAAATCTTATTTTGTACTTATTTTTACTGTGTATATGATATTGTGTCTGTTTTTATGCTAGACTATGAAAGGTGACCTAGAGTGCCAAGAAAGGCGCCTACAAATAAAATGTATTATTATTATTGTTATCTGGTATCTACAGAGTAGACGTTCGAAGTCTACTCTCGGGTAGGAGAAAAGCTGATCTATTACTCTGGGACGGTGTCTTGTGTCCAAGAACTTAGATTTCAAATAAATTAGTATTAACTCAGTTCAGTAATTATTTTCCCCTAAATTTACGACCCAAATTTAACCATTGGATAAATGATGCGTAAACAAAGCGTCTCCCTTTTGGTTAAATTTGCATCGCTAATTTGCCCTGCTGAACAGCTTCAGAATATTACATTTAATACTTGGGCCTTCTATTTTCTTTTGGGTAACCACATCGAATAATTCCCTTTTACCTGTTAATTTCTGCTAAGAAGTATTTTAAAGGACAAGTTAATTTCCATAAACTCCAGTTGTCAAGCAAAGTCATCATTAAATGTAAGCAATAATTAAAAGTCATTTGCTCATATATAGCCAAATAAATGTAATAAAACTGTACACTGAAGTATGTGTTTTATTTATGACATCGGAATTTTTCCATACAAAAGAACTCACTGTAAAGAGGTTAATTTGAGGTAATTAAACAATAACATTTGCTGAGGCTGATGCTCAGACTTTTTCTCTCAAAGCTTTGAGTGGTGCCCCCTTCAAAATAAAATTCATAAGGAGTTTTAATGATAATTGAACCTATCCACTACAACACAAAAGGGCCTTCTCCTACTCCGCTCCCGTTTCCTGGAATATCTTGCAAAAACAGCTGAAGCTCTCGAGCTTGACCTCTCTAAGTGGCTTCAAACATCGGATAAGTTCCTGGAAAAAACCAATGCAGACATATTCCTGTTTTTAGTTTTATACATCGCCTTATATTCTAGCTGTTTTTATTACTTTTTTTAATACCATTTTATTTTCACTTGTCATTCTCAATTTCTATGCATCCTTTCATGATTGTCTATTGTTGTCTGTTGTCCACTGTTGTCATCACACTTTGTTAAAAGCAGGGCTCTTGTAAACGAGTCCCTGAGGCTCAATGAGATTAACCTGTAGAAATAAAGGTTGAATGAATGAGTGTAAAATAATGTGTATTAAACAGCAGCCCGAACATGAGTCTGTGGGGAGCAGAAGGGTATGAATACAGCAGTTTTAAGGCAAGAGATCAGCAGCATGGATAATCCAGGTCCAGGACAAAGAGACATTACCTTCATGTTCCAGAGGTCAGCAAAGAACATCTGGCGCCTCTTGGTTCCCATCGGCGTGTTGTGGAGCGACGACGCCACTCTCTTTGCTATTTGCTTGTCTCTAAACTCCACCCATCCTTCAACAAACTTACTCCTTCTTGATCCAGAGTTCCTCTTCCTCCTCCTCACCTGTCGGTCTGCAGATTAGAACATGAGAGAGATTGACCGATCACCCCAGAGGGACCACAACACTCAACAATAAGTTCATCTGCAGTGATGTCATCAACAACCAGTGAAAAAAGCTTTGAGTGAAAACAGGAGCTGATTGGTTCAGTTTCTGGAGAAGAAGAAGAAAAAGAATACAGCACTGGAAGTCACTGATCAGAGTGTCACAGCGTTACGACTTGCTCCTACCTTCAGGCTGCATGAATATACGTCCGATCTCTCCATACACGGACAACAAGTTTCTCAGGTGCTTGGGGCGGAGCATTGGAGGAATGTGACCTAGGTAGATGATACCTGGATGACATTGCTTTTCGTTCTTCCTCTCCTTTATTTCCTGATCTCCATCACCACCATTTTGGCTTTTGGTGGTCTCCCCCTCCCTCTCTTTGAAACCCTGAGATGTGTCATTTTGATGCTCTGCCTCTTCTTCTCTGTTCATCTTCTTACTACAAAAAAAAAATAATTTCAAATAAATTCATCCATATACTGTACTATTCAACAAAGCAGATTGCTGATTAACGGCAACTAATCAAATGATTATTGCATTGATTACATCATCTTAGCTTCAGGGTCAGATGATCATCACCTTGTTACAAATTCTGGAAGTTACAGCTCATTTAAAGAAACATATATTTTGTTGTTTGTTACATTTATGATCAACAGATCTTAAGCTTTAATTTATTCAGTTATTTTGTGAAACTTCACCTGCACTTTAGTTTTTGTGGTGGATTTATTGATCTATATTTTGTGCAGACTGTTTCAATCTAAATAACAGAAGGATCATTGTAATTTTTATAATTTTAGACAGAATACTTTACTAAATAAAGTAAGTTCTGTAAAATTAACCTGTTTTTTTTATTTTTATATAATACTGCAAAGCAACGTGTTAATTTTGTCAAATGAATACATGATTTCTGGGATTTTTTTTTGTTATATCACGAACTTTATCGTTATCATCAGAATGCTCTGAAATATCACGATATTATATTTGAGCCATTTCTTTTTTTTTTATTCATTCAACCTTTATTTAGACAGGTAGATCCCATTGAGCCTCGAGGACTCATTTACAAGAGACCTGAACCATATCACCCACCCCTACTGGACAGTTTCTTTTTTTTTGCTGAAACGTTTCACCTTTCATCCAGAAGGCTTCATCAGTCAAGGAAACACACAACACAAAACTGATTCCTCCCCCAAACAGCTTACTCCAAAGTGGAACAATGATGATGAAGCCTTCTGGATGGAAGGTGAAACGTTTCAGCAACAAAAAGAAACTGTCCAGATGACCTGACTGAAAATTGTTGGATTGTATACCTGGATTATTGAGCATGGACATTTTAGTACAAAAAAAAAGATCATTCACATCCTGTGTATCAGGACATGATTTGAGACATCATAAAAGCTCTACCAGCAGCACAACTGAAACATGATTACATATGCATTTGACGTCAAGGTGTTGAGATTAGTCTATGAGCGTTTTTTTTCAGATCGGCCACAGTTCTGATGATGTTGTTTCAGCCAGCAGTTCTGATAAGCCTGCACAGAAAGTTCTCTGTGTGTGTCAAGTCAAGTCAACTTAATTTATAGAGCACATTTAAAACAGAACCTGTTGTCAAAGTGCTTAACAACAACAACAATCAATGGGTGTAAAATTAAAGAGAAAAAAACACAATACACTAATAATAATAACTGAAGAATTAATAAAAAGCATTTAAAACATAGGATCACAGAACAAAAAACACTAAATCAACTCGCACTGTGTGAAATGTCTGCGAGAACAGATGTGTTTTTAGCAGGGATTTGAAGTGAGGAAGGGAGGTGTCCTGCCTGATGTTGGGGGGCAGGTTATTCCAGAGTTTGGGGCCCATGACTGAAAAAACCCGATCTCCTCTGAGCTTCTTGTTTTTGGAACAGCCGAAAGCAGCTGATCAGATGATCTCAGGGCCCGAGAGGGAACGTAAGGTTCCAGAAGCTCAGAGAGGTAAAGGGGTGCGAGGCCATTTAAGCATTTGAAGGTCAACAGAAGAATTTTAAAGACTATCCTCGTACGAACAGGGAGCCAGTGAAGGGAGGACAGAACTGAACTAATATCTTCAGACCTACGAGTTCCAGTTAAAAGCCAAGCAGCAGCATTCTGGACGAGCTGAAGACGTGAGATGGAGGCCTGGCTGACCCCAGCATAGAGTGCGTTGCAATAATCCAATCGGGTCGTGACAAAGGCGTGGACTAGTTTCTCAAGGTCAGATCTGGACAACACTGGCTTGAGCTTAGCTACCTGTCTGAGCTGGAAGAAGCTTTTCTGCAGAACAGAGTTGATTTGTTTGTCAAACTTGAAGTCAGAGTCTAAAACCATCCCGAGATTTTTACCAGACTGCTTAAGATATGGCTGAAGAAAGTCCTGGTTGACAGGATCAGTGGCAACAGTTGAGCTAGGGCTAAAGACAATGACTTCAGTCTTCTCATCGTTAAAACTTGAGAAATTTGAAGCCATCCAGGCCTTAATGTCGTCCAGACATTTTAACAGAGGGTGAATGGAGCAAACAACCAAAGAAACCATCTTAGCACCAACAAAACTGGTTTGTTCCACTTTGGAGTAATCTGTTGGGGGAAGAATCAGTTTTGTGTTGTGTGTTTCCTTGACTGATGAAGCCTTCCGGATCGAAGGCGAAACATTTCAGCACAAAAAAAGAAACTGTCCAAATGCCCGACTGAAAAATGTTGGAATGCAGCAAACACTTGTTGGTTTCACAGGCAGGTAGATCTGACAGTCATCAGCATAACAATGGAATGAAAGACCATGTTTCCTCAGGATGGACCCCAGTGGGAGCAAATAAAGTGAGAACAGAAGGTGTCCAAGCATCGAACCCTGTGGGACCTCGCAATAAAGAGGTAATGAGGCGGATACATTATTACCAGCCTTGACACAAAAACGCCTGCCACTCAGGTATGAGCGGAACCATTCTAATGCAGCAACTGTGATCCCAACCCATTGTTCCAGCCGTGATATAAGGATACTGTGGTCAACAGTATCAAAAGCAGCTGTAAGGTCCAGGAGCACAAGTACCACAAATTGACCAGAATTGTTTGATATCATAATATCGTTACAAACCCTCACTAATGCTGTTTCACTGCTGTGGAGTTGCTTAAAACCAGATTGAAAAATCTTGAAGATTCTGTTCTCATTCAAAAACTTGTTTAATTGAATGAAAACTATTTTCTCCAGGATTTTGGACAGGAAGAGAAGTTTTGAGATTGGTCTGAAATTTGAGCAAGTCGAAGGGTCAAGTCCAGGTTTCTTAATTAACGGATGAACTACTGCATGTTTGAAAACATCAGGAACCACACTTGTCACAATACTACTATTTATAATAGTAAGAAGAGAGGGTCCAATCGTGGGTAGAACTTGTTTGAAAAACAACGCAGGAATGGGGTCAGCAGGGGAACCGGAGGGTTTCATCTGACCAACAACTTTGTTTAGAAATGTGTGCGTGCGATAGATGAAGCTTTATCCCTGGTTACCCCTGACCCAGGATAAATTTGATAGTCAGCCTGTCTCCGAGGCCAATGGGGAGTCAGATTCAGATAAGCTTTGATTGTTGATTTTCTTCAGGCAGACAGATTTTTCATCAGCCTTGAGTCCATCTGGACTTTCTGTTTAAAATGGCCTGATTATGGGAATCCATTCCACTGATTGATGTTATGAGTTGCCTTGAAGGTCGAACCCACCATGCTGACAAGTCCCAGAAGCTGAAGGTGGCCTGCGATTCTCACAAATCGCCTACAACTTACGGTTTAGCTCGTAAATCAGCTGATTTTGAATACTCATAGCACGAACCAAACCTTCACACTGACTCGGAAGCTTTGCCATGGCTGAAACTGCTGCCGATGTCTTCTTCAAAAGTCGATAAAACAGAGCCCCGCCGATGCCAAAACGCAGAGTCCCTGCTATCATAAATCCAATTATGTAAGCGTCTTCAACATCCTCCTGAGACAGAACTGAGAGGCCCATCAGCTGCCACACTCCTCACGGGTCCATGACGTACCCCACAGCGCGAGTCTCAGCTGGACACGCAGGTTCTCCAGGACACTATCACATTGTTGAAAAAAATCTTGTCGATAGCGCTGAAAGTCCAGGTTACCAGATCCATAATCTTAATTTACGTTTGGGAGATGTGTACCAGGCGCTTCAGACACACAGAGAACGAAGCAGGGGAAGGGAAAAAACGGGAGAGGAAAGTCAAGCAGCCACCTTGAGCGAGAGCCAGAGAGAAAAAAACTCTTGACTCATTCTTTCAATACTCCAATCATTTTGAACATTTAAAAGTTTCCTTTCACAAAAATACTTACAGGTATATTTTTTCCAATTTGCTTTCCCAAATATCCACTTTCCTCCTACCTTTTCAGGAATCTGTATCTGACCCATCCTTACATACTGACTATAATCTAATGATCACTACCAAATGATTTATTTATTACTTGCCATTCACATAATGGAGAAAGCAGCTAGATACAAATGTTAAATCTAATACAGATTCATAAGCAAAATTAATATTGATTCTTGTCTTTGCTCCATTATTCAAACATACAAGATTTTTATCATCCAAAAATGATTCTAATATTTTACCATTGTAATCTATTTTCTCAGTCCCCCATAGCAGGAACGATGTGCATTAAAGTCTCCACACCAAATAATATTTCCTTTCATTCAGAGAGATTCAGGGAGATTTATTTGTCATTCGCACCACATGTGGTACATGTGGTGGAACTAGATTATGTCCACAGGGTCCCAGTTGCATCCAACAATAAAATGTAAAATAAAAACAGTAATAAGATCTAAGATATGAACTAAGAAAAACATTAACTAAAAATACACTAAGCACTAATAGCATAAAAACAATAAAAACAATACATCGAACAGCAGCACAAACATGAGTCTGTGTGAGCAGATGAGCAGGCATGAACACATCAACATGAAACAGATCAGCAGCAACATGAAACAGATCAGCAGCAACATGAAACAGATCAGCAGCAACATGGTGTGATTTTTAACAGTGATTATCCTGGTTAATTAAAATTTCATATCAATCTCCTCCAGTTGACTTAATTCAATCTTTTTTCAGGGATTGTAAGAATGTAGACTCATTATTTCCTTCCCTTCTGTCCATCTTTCAGTTGCTACATGCTCTAAGGCTCCATCCATCCATCCATCCATCCATCCATCCATTTTCTTTACCCGCTTGTTCCATTTTGGGTCATGGGGGTCGCTGGTGCCCATGTCCAGCAATCACTGTGTGAGGGGCGGGGGACACCCTGGACGGGTCGCAAGTCCATCACAGGGACACATAGAGACAAACGAGACAAACAACCATTCACTCTCTCACTCTCACCTAGGGACAATTTAGAGTTACCAATCAGCCTAACATGCATGTTTTTGGACTGTGGGAGGAAACCGGAGTACCCGGAGAAAACCCACGCATGCACGGAGAGAACATGCAAACTCCACCCAGAAAGGCCCCTGGACCGGGGTTTGAACCAGGGACCTGCTCGTTGAGAGGCATCAGCTCTACCAGTTGCGCCACCGTGCTGCCCGCTCTAAGTCTCCTTTCCTTTCAATTATTTTATATGGAGTACCTTCTTTAATCAAAGAAAGACACCCACCTCCATTTCCTTCTTTTCTTTCAAATCTAACTGCAATATATCCATAAACTGTAAAGTTTAAAGAATCCTTCAAACCGTTTCCTGTTTACAGATTATATCAGGTTTTTCTGTCTGATCATAAATAAACTGTTTAAAATCTGGACCATTTGACAAAAGACTCCTTGCGTTCCACTGCAGGATGAGGATTGTGATCAAAACGAGCCACATGATCCTTCTGGACTTGCTTCACTACGCAGCTCTCTGCTTACATCTTCCCATCGGATGTTCTTCATATCTAAACTACGACAAGCTGCCTTCACAATGATCTGAATTCTTTCTGTCTTACACTTCACGTCTGTTGTTGCTTTTATTACTCCTGCTACAAAAGTCACCATCTTCTTCTTCTCTTCCTCTATTTTCCTTTCAACCATTTCCATAACCTTTTGGATTACCTGTTTCTCCTCTATCCTAGGTTTTCTGTTCGGCTTCTGTTTTTCAGCCATTTTACATGCTTCTGCATATGTTACTTTCTGCACAACTGTTTGCTGCTTCATCACTTCACACCCCCAGAAAGCAAAGCTATGCTCTCCTCCACAGTTGCAGCATTTTGGTTTAACTCTCAACTCCACATTTTCCATATTCATGATCTCCAGATCATCGAGCACATCTCCCGTTTCTTTTACACATTTTAAAAAAATCCAAATTCCTGCCAGTTGAAACATCTCACTGGTTTAGGTGCAAACTCCCTGACACTGAATCTTAGCAACACAAAGAAAACGTCCTTTTCACATCTTTTGTCTCAAACTCCACCAGCACAGTTTCTGTTTCAACTTTCTCTGGACCTCTAGTCGTCTTCTTGCTCATTTTACTTCTTTATTTTTTGCTTTAGATTCTCAACCAGTTCTTTCATATTTACATTTAGAGGTACTCCTACGATGACTCCTCTACTTCCATTATTTCTTTTTTCACCTACTCTTACAACAGTTTTAACTTTAACTTTGCACACCCACCCAATTGTCCTCGCTTTTCCACCTGAACATCTGTACTGCACCCAATCAGAAGATTTCCATCTCTCAGTATTTTTGCATATTTGACTTCTCCAACTTGTGTTTTAAGTGTTTTGTGAACTTCAGTGGGTCCATTTTCTTTACTCCCTCTTCTTCTTCAAATCTTATTATAACATTCATGGATGGATTTTTTGACACATCTGCTCTTTCTTCGTTACCTTCACTATCAGTTCCTTCTGAACGTTCCTCATTTCTTTTTTCTTTCACTAGCTCTCTGTTTCTTTCCACTCTTTCTCTTCTTTTTGACCGTCCATCTCTTCCTCTTCACTATCATCCATGCTATTCCAATGGCTTCTTTCTAATTCTACTGACGCCATGTTCTGACATGAGCCAAACAAAAGTTCAGTTTCCTGCTTCTCTCTTCATCTATGACTACTTGACAGCTCCAACAGAGACTCACTTTACCGCAGTAGTCAGAGGCAGGTTCAGGATTTAGCAGAGTCTTCCACCTTTGAAATTATTCCTCCAAATCTCTCGATTTTGTCCTTTTGAATTTTCAAATCTGCCGCTGTCCTTCTATTGAGATCTTCCTTGCCATGGCAGTCCCCAACAAACTTACAAAAATCAACTCAGACCGGTGGACCCTGACGTCAACAACATGTCGGAGCAGTTATTAATCCCTCTGGCGTCATCAAACTGTCTGACCTGCAACCCTGACATCTTTAAAACTTTACTCACGTGATCAATGAGCTGCTGATCGATTCCTGATCAGTTTCATCCATCGATATCTTTTGAGAACCCAGCTCTTCACATGAGTTACTGGCGCATTTGAATGACGTAGCCGTCATCGGTGGTTTCCGGTTGTTCCCTTCAAAATAAGTTTAAGAAGAACGTCAAAATTCGCAAAACAATTTACAGAGAGGGCAACACCATCTATGCAGCAGCCGATGAGGGATCTAGTGTTTGAGATTTGAGAGAGCACTTTGAGATTTTTGTTAATGAAAAGTGCGTTACAAATTAAATTTATTATTATTATTATTATTATTAGTGGGCCATAACCTCTCTTACTTTGAAAAGACAAACCGGAATTTCTTAGAGGCGAAAGGCATGCCGGGTAACAGTAAAGATGAAGCGACCGCTGTCCAGTTTAAATCTATGTACCAACACGAAAATGAAACTGGGCCGTGCTGGTTTCCAGTACACCTCCGACCTGCATCACCTGAACCCGGAACAAGTCAGCCAAGGTATCGCTTCCCCGAACCCCGTCCAAAACACAGATTTACCTTCATTTTACGGAGCCAGCACAGACACCAGACTCCGTTCATAAAATCATCGATTTAACTCCTCGCTGTTTTGCCGTTGGACTCTGGAGAAACTCGGACCAGGCTCATTTTATATAAATACATAAATAAACGTTTATCAGAGTCAGAGTTTCTTTATTGTCATTCGCACCTCATGTGGTACATGTGGTGGAGCGAAATTATGTACACAGGGTCCCAGTTCCATCCAACAATAAAATGTAAAAGAAAAACAGTAATAACATCAAAGATATGAACTAAGAAAAACATTAACTACAAATATGCTAAGCACTAATAGCTTAAAAACATTACGTCGAACATCAGCACAAACATGAACATGAGTCTGTGTGAGCAGATGAGCATGAATGATCACATCAACATGAAACAGATCAGCAGCAACATGAAACAGATCAGCAGCAACATGAAACAGATCAGCAGCAACATGAAACAGATCAGTGGCAACATGAAACAGATCAGCAGCAACATGAAACAGATCAGCGGCAACATGAAACAGATCAGCAGCAACATGAAATAGATCAGCGGCAACATGAAACAGATCAGCAGCAACATGAAACAGATCAGCGGCAACATTGAAACAGATCAGCGGCAACATTGAAACAAATCAGCAGCAACATTGAAACAGATCAGCAGCAACATGAAACAGATCAGCAGCAACATGATGTGATTTTTCACAGTGATTATTCTAGTTAGAGATTCATGAGTCTAACAGCCTCAGGGTAGAAGCTGTTCCTCAGTCGAGTGGTTCTACACTTAATGCTCCTCAACCTCCTTCCTGAGGGGAACGGGGCAAAAAGTGTGTGTGCTGGGTGAGTGGGGTCCTTCATGATGCAGGTGGTATGTAACCTTGCAACTGAAATATAACCATATGTTGTTTATTAATACAAAACAAATAACTTAGTGACATGTAGTCACTAGAAAATGCTGAGAAATTGTGCTCAAGTTTACATAAACAATTTTTTAATTAATCTTAAAAACTAGTATTGCATTAATCATTGTGTTTGAAACACATTAACACCAGAAACTTGAAAATGAACTCCTGAAGAGAGGTGAAAATGTTTTAAAAATACTGAACATTTTTAACATTTCCACTCTTTTTTTTGAGCAAACCTGACATGCAAATAAAATTAAAAAAAACTCTGTGGAAAATCTATCTTAAAAAATCATTGAACTCGATAATCAGATTTTCTGCCTCTACTAAAAATGCACTGAACAGGTTCATCTTTTCAGGGGCCGTTTACACGGCGCGTATTTTGAGTGCATCCGCAGCTTTCTCTCTGTGGTTCTGCTGATCATTTACACGACACCAGTCCCCCCCTCTTTGAATCCAGAGGTTTCTGAACCCACCTTCCAGATTGGAGGTTTTTCTCTGACCCCCTGCTGATGATGTAAACATCTCCCGCTGAGGCTTTGTGTTAAACCACATGCGCACACGCACGGACCGATGCTATATTTCTATCAACATGGTGGTGGACACACGTCTTTCTGAACTACGACTAATGGAATATATTTTTAATCTCGTAGTTAATCTACGTCAGATTGCAGCTGCTGTGACCAACATCTGTGTTGGAAGAGACACAGTCTGATCCAGTTCTAATGTTGCTGTTTATAGAACGAGGCACGTGCACACGTAGAGTTGCACCATAACATACTTAAATGTGCTAAATAATAAGTTTAATATTAATAAACAGTATTTATGTTAGTGTGAGAGATATAATGAAGCTCTGAGCTAAATTAAGCTATCTGGACATGATGTAATTCAAATTATGTGATTAAGATGATGCTAAACAAATTGCGTGTTATTAAAGTTGAAAATGAAGACATCAGGTTTAATTTTTATTTATTTATTCAACACCAAAAACTGTATGCCACACAAACACTGATAATTAAACTGAACACACTATTAAAAACACGTTAACTGTAAACTGCGTTAATGAACTGGACTCTTGTTTTCATCCTGGATGTACTGGTCCCACGTTGTTCATCTGGCTCGTTCAGGCTGTCACTCCTTTGATTAATGCAGCTTAAAACATTGAATGGATTGAATAAAAGAACCGAGGGGAATTTTAAATAAATAGTTCATTCAACATCTCTCTCTTCGACATCCTCCTGCAGTGCACCTGGGCCGAGCCTCGTTCAGAACCGGTCCTCCTGGTGGAAGGACAGCTTCTTCTTCTAAAAAAGTTAAATCTGGTCCTCTGGACATTCAAAAAACAAAACAAAGCAAAACAACAATAAAATGTAGAAACGTTTCTTCTTTCATCCGAAAGACTTCCTCAGTCTGAGGTGCTGTATTCAGCTCAGTCTCTTAAATAGCACCTTCTCAGAGTGGATCAACCAGTTTTTCTGCTGACAACCAAAACCAGCTGATCACATGGTCAAGAAGGACCATCAGCCTAACAATGGATCATTAGCACACTGATGGCTGTTTACTGTTCACAGAAGGTTGAGTGATACTAGCAATCACAGCATTGTAAGAGGGGGACAGTTGAACCTGGAGGCTCCACCCCTGTTTAATGATGGACGGTTTCTTTTCACAAAGATGGCCTCCTTTACTCCTCTCTCAAACCATCGTTCCTCTCTGTCCAGGATGTGAACATCTTCATCCCTGAAAGAGTGACCACTGACCTGGAGATGAGTGTAGACCTCAGAGTCCTGGCCTGATGATGTTGATCTTTTGTGCTGGTCCATCCTTTTGGCCAGTGGCTGTTTAGTTTCCCCGATGTAAGACTGATCACCCTCCTGACACTGAACAACATACACAATATTACTCTGTTTGTGCCAGGGGACTGGATCTTTGGGATGAACCAGTCTTTGCCGTAATGTATTTTGGGGTTTAAAAGCCACTGGGACGTTATGTTTAGAAAATAAACGTCTCAGTTTCTCTGATACTCCCTCAACATATGGAATGACCACTGGTCTGGGTCTGGGTTCTGTTGTGGATAGAATACCACGTCGTGTTCAAAACGGCGGAGGCGTCGCCCTTCGTATAAAAGATTTATTTGACACAACATGGGTTACAGATATTCAGAGACAAACAGTTACATTAATAAGATATATGCATATAAATGGAGCATTAAGAACAAACCGCCTCCTGCGTGCCTCTCTGAAAATGCTCAGTGCGCGTGCGTCATTCCCGGCCTTTTATCCACGTCTGAGAAGGCTAGCTTCCTGATTGGTTCAGCTTCTGTCGCTATGGTTACGACGTAGCCCGCCCCCTCAAGGACGTTACGTCTATATTTCAGATAAGTTTTGGTTCGGCTTTTGTTTAAAGTTTAACTTGCTATTATACTTTAGGGATATAAAATGATTCGTGCCTAAATTGTTTATGCGTAATAATTAATAACTATTAATTATTACCTATCTCCTGGGTGTTAATTCACTATCTGTTGGAGGTCTGGTGATTCTGTTTTTAAGGCAGAATCATTTTAGTTTCTGTGTCTGCGTTTAAAACCGTTAACACTGTTTGTTTAACATGATTATACCTTAGTGATAACACTGATTTGAAATAGCTGTTTATTTCTAGGAATAATTATATTATCTAACTTATGTTCGTGTTTTTATTTGGATCATGGTTATACTCTTAATTTGATTTTACTTAGTCAAACTATACTGTCTAACTTAAAGAGATGTGTTCTAGCTTTATTTATGTTAATCAGTCTGCTCTCTGGCCTGATTTGATTGCTTGTAATTTATCAAATGTGAACTTGTAAAATTATCTTTAGCTACTATGAGATTATATTTAAAGGTCAACTAGTTAGACTTAGCAAACACTTTCTATAAACATAGTTCAACCTTGGAAGAAAGACACACACACACTTTATATGACCTGACATTTGAGTGCTTGATAGGAATTATAAAAAGGTATAAAATATTAAATCCAACAGTTCCTCCTTTTCACCTGATGGCTGACTGGAGTCCTGTTTGGGTTTCTTCTCTCCTTTCAGGAAGGCCCAGTTAGGATATCCACATTGCTCTAGAGCCTGTCTTGTGTGTGATTTCTCCTTCTGCCTGGCTCCTGAGTTATTGGGGACGCTGTCTGCTCTGTGATATAGAGTCCTGATGACTCCTAACTTGTGCTCCAAAGGGTGATGGGAGTCAAACTGCAAATACTGGTCTGTGTGGGTGGGTTTGCGGTACACCTCGGTTTGCAAATGTCCTCTATCAGAGACTGAGACCTCACAGTCCAAGAAAGCCAACCTGCCATTTTTTACATCTTCTCGTGTGAACTTGATGTATTTATCCACAGAGTTGATGTGGTCAGTAAAATGTTGGACTTCCTGAGATTTAATTTTAACCCAGGTGTCGTCAACATACCTGAACCAATGACTTGGTGGTGTACCTGAAAAGGACGTCAAGAGAGAGGAGTAAAGGAGGCCATCTTTGTGAAAAGAAACAGTCCATCATTAAACAGGGGCGGAGCCTCCGTGTTCAACTGTCCCCCTCTTACAATGCTGGTATTGCTAGTATCACTCAGCCCCCTGTGAATAGTAAACAGCCATCAGTGTGCTAATGATCCATTGTTAGGCTGATGGTCCTCCTTGATCATGTGAGCAGCTGGTTTTGGCTGTCAGCAGCAAACTGGTTGATCCATACAGCACCTCAGACTGAAGTTGTCTTTCGGATGAAAGACGAAATGCTTCTACAATTTTTTTTTTTTTTTTTTTTTTGAATGTCCAGAGGACCAGATTTAACTTTTTTAGATTTTTCTATCTGGATTATTGAGCATGCATCAGGAGTTTTACAAAGTACATTTAAAAACAGCAGTTGTTAACAAAAGTGTTTGCCAATAAAAATCCATCCATCCATCCATTTTCTTCCGCTTATCTGGGGTCGTATCGCGGGGGTAGCAGCCCAAGTAGGGAGGCCCAGACTTCCCTCTCCCCAGCCACTTGGGCCAGCTCTTCCGGGGGAATCCCGAGGCGTTC